TAATACATAGCTACTACACCAACTGCTGGTCCCAATTTTGCTTTTTTTTAAAAAATGTAGAATAAATGTTTTGGTGAATAGTGCTAAAAAGGACTAAACATTATAGTTCAAATTCAGGTACCTCATAAGAGTATGTTTCTCCATTCTTCCATTTTTCTACCCCTTGGGTTAAAATTTGTTCATGCTGATATGCTTTCATTTCTTTTTTAGCCTTCCCTTTGAAATAAAAACTTTTTTTATTGACTTTTCCGGTCGACTATCTAATATAATTACTATCTAATATAATCTCAAATTCATGCAGCACTTGAGATTACATTTGTAGAAGGTGTTGCCATTGCCCCTCCCATAGGCTTCCATTCACTTAAATGTGTTTAAATTCCCTCATTCAAAAGCTCTGGCTGCCTTCCCATTTCCAACTGCAGGCATCTTCATTTTTGTGTCTGAAGACTCTTCCCCAAAACTATAAAAACCCATGACGCTAATAGTGCAGAGAAATTAACAATATACAATTAGTGGCTATAAGGAGCCGATTAGTACCTCAGGGTCTTCATCATTAAGGTAGGATCATTCTGAGCTGCCTGCAGCCGAGTTTTCTCAAAGCATTGAGCGTCAGTCACTCTCCGTCAGCTGACATCATAAATATCTATAACAGCCGCCCTCCATTTCTCATTTTACTCCACACTGTTCTACTCTTGCTCTTTAACCTTCTCAAGTAAACAACTTGTGCTCAAATTCTTGTGTCTTGGTTTGCTTTTAGTGTCTATGAGTTGCTTCCTACAAACTGGCTGTGAGGGTGCCTCTGTGGTGCAGCAGTGTGGACTGACCCAGAGAAGTGGCTCCCTCATCACAACCTGGGTTTGAATCCCCAGTCTAATCCACCTGAAATATGCCAGGTCAGTGTACAAGCACCCAAGATTGCTGGGCTAGAGGAGAGGAGGAAGAAAACCTTGGTGGGACTAGATTCTGTGAAGGGTGCTCATCTTCTCTTTCACATGTGTGCATGCACACACTTGTTCATGAATAGAGAAAAAAAATGATTTTCTGCTAAAAGCAAACAACAGCTCTGAGACATAGCCTTTTGTACATATAAAAGTTCTTACAATAATCCTGTCCTCAGTATGTGGTAGAGACAGACAATGGATATTTTATTATAATCTCCTGTTATAGTGGATTTGACTTATCATATCATATACAATAGATGAAAATACAGAAAATGGAAAGAACAAATTGAAGGCAGTGAACTCAGACTGGCTGTTTCTCAAAGGATTTCTAGAATGATATCATTTTGACATTTAAGTGAAAAAGAAAGTGATTCTTTTAGCAATAATTCATTGATTATTATGAATTCCCCATTCACTTCTTTAAAGACTAGGAATAGAAAGATAAAAAACAAACAAACAAAACACACGCACATACACACACACACACACACAAAACACCTGACTCTGCTTAGGAGAACCATACTGTTTATAGAGAATTTTTTCCTTCTATCTATTTTGTAGTTATAATTTCTAGCTTTATGAGTTATGGGGGAAAAGGAGAAAGATGAGGAATTAGAGATACAAAAGGATAAGTAAAATGATGAAGCAGATGAGTTTCAATCACCGTTGATAGAATGAAATTTGTAAGTAAACAGAGTCATGAAAAGTAACAGACTTTCCTGGTGGCTAAATGAGAGAGGTTTTTTTTTTCATGACTGAAAAGATAAAAAAAGGAGAGATCTCTCTAAAGGCAGCCAAAAAGGACAGCTTTGAATTCATCTTTGAAAGCCCATATTTTTTCTTCTCTTTGCTCCAGTTTTGACACAATGGCTATCCAGTTATTACTGAAATGATAGCCTAAGCAATCCAGCTACATAAATTAGGTTTCTGATGTTCCACAGTTGGACAGGGAATGCACTTGAAATGAGAGTTATTAAACTGAGAACATGTCCTTATTTATAAATATAGATTTCTTTATATATGGTTTTCCATCCTAAAGAGAAGACTGAGTATGCTTTTCTTTCTGGGCATGTTTGCTTATATGTGGGAGGAGGTGGCTAATGAGAAGAGGGCGTAAACGGGGGACATGATTATCTAGCCCCAGTGCTTACTCAAAGGCATATACTAATTGCTGTTAGCAATGTCTTTTATAAAATTGAAAGCTATAGCATAAGTAAAATAAATGTTTATAGATATCAGGTCTTACTGCCAGTGAAAGTGAAACACACGTTCAGAAGTCACTCCTTAGAGATGCATACAATTAATTGAAGACAGATAATTGCATGTGTAATGGCTTCTTGTACACTAAGTACCTGTTTACAAATCAAAGGATTCAATTTGGAGTCTCGAGTGTGAGTTGTCTAAGCTCAATTAACCCCTTATTGCTGTGCATAAACACCCAGATTATAAAAATGTGTCCTTTAATATTTTTAAGATCATCTAAATTATAGTGTAAATTTATACGATGAGGTCTGAAATAAAAATCTATTATCTATCCTAAGTTAACAGATGTAACATATCAAGTATTGCTCTGGGTCATTTGCTGCTCTCTTGTGAGGCTTTGTTGTTTATTTGCAAAACTCATATTTAAACAAGTTCTCTGTGTAAGCAACATATACCCTAAGAGTTATTAAAATGTGCCTCATAAAACTCCAAAAGGCAATTTTCTGAAGATATTTGAGAGTTGCTAATTGTGAAGTAGGTGTAGTAGAATTATTTATCATTCATTGATTCAAATGTTGAGCATGATATCATAGGTGTATAAAATGGCTGGATCCCTGCATTTCAGAGACAGATAACGAGACAGGTATGATTCATGACTCTGATTCAAGTACCTCAGGAGAAATAGGTGCAGTGTTATGAGTTCAAACCCTGGAGTCACACAGGCTTTACATTCCAGATCTAGACCCAGGAAATCAACATAGGAGAATTGGTACATCATCAGTTTAATTTGTTTCTTCTAACAATAAAAATAGACCTATATATATAGTATCTTACTCAGGCAGGAATGTGAGAACCATAAAGTATTTACCACATTCTAAAAATCCACAGAAAGAAACAAACCAAAAATTTCACATATTTTTAAAAAGAAGTTTGTTTCTTTCATGAGAGAGATACAGAGAGAGTGTGAGAAAGCAAGATTGAGAAAGAGAAAGAGAGAGAGAGAGAGACAGCATCACCAACAGTCTTAGAAAAGTGACCCATATCTGGCCTTCAGCCAGCCAGTCTCAGATCATAGGTAAGTGACTTGATCCTGAACTTTCTCCTGTGGGAGTGTCTCACAGAGCATGATGTTTTTACCGCTGCGCCACCTTCTGGATCCCCCAAAAGACATTTTACTGAGCTCTAAGTTAAGGACAAATATTTTCCTATTGCTTTCTGTGATTTGGTTTCTGGCCTTTGCACAGATTGGTAAGATAAAAAAATAAAAGACTCAAACTTTTTTTTTTTTTGGAGAGATTTTTGCTATAGGGCGCCTGAGCTCCCCAGACAGACAGAGAGAGACATAGAGACAGACAGCGAGAAATCACCCCCCAGGGGGGATGGTCACGCCGCAATCCCTTCTCCTCCATTCTCCTCTTGGGATCTTGGGCACGCACGCACACGCGCCCGGCGTGAGTTTTAAGCCACCGGGTCTGGGACACGAGCCACAGTCAACTACATGGGAGTCCAGCGACATAGCCATTATGCTAACTACTGGTTCCCAAGACTCAAACTTTTAAATGGACAATACATGCCATAGGTTTGTGGGTAGGCAAAGAAGCAGGAAGTTTGTGAATCAAGTTTCCTATGGTAATTACACATTTCAAGCAGCAACCTAAAGCATTAGGCTTTGGCCATGTACATAGCAGCCTGTTCTTACTGAGCCACAGCCTCTGAGTACGCTTGTGTTGTAGCTATTTTCTCCACGTGCAGCAGTCGATCTCTCTGTCATAAATGCATCGGGTTGTTAGCTGAAGTGTATTAGTTACATAGCCAACACTACAACAGGATATGCCTGTGGTTCCATTAGATGTTAGAGGAGTTAGAAAAATGCTGCAAATTAATCAAGTACTTTTTATTGGAAAAGGTAATACAAAACATAGTCTATGGCTTTTCTTTTGCCTGAAATAGTGATAAAGACATGGGAAAAATGTCATTTACTCCAGCTATCTTATTTAGTATCCCTTCTAACTCTTTGTATTATAGCACATCCCCCTCCCCCTTGGTTACTTTTATTTTAAAACAAACATTGCTTAAAAACATTGTGATAATGTGGAGAAAAACGGTATTTGAGCAATCTGAGGCATAAACCCATCAAACAGATACCTTAAACATTGTGAAAGAAAAAAAAAATGCAAGCAATATATTTATATCGGTAGAGTCAACCGTTCTTTTGAAAAGTAGATCAGTTTTCCATATCCAGAAAAATATGACTTGCTGCTGATGGTGTCACAGGAAGGTGTCATCGTAACCATCATGGTATTGTGGTAGGCAGTTAGTTAGCCATGAGCGGGCAGCCCTAAGAGAAAAGCGAAAGGCTCACCTAGCTTCAGGTGCCAGGAGGGTGAGGCAATTTGCCATATTAATTCCTTGAGGCTTGAGGGAAGCATACAGGGGTAGTTCCTAGATTTTCTTTTGTCAAAAGGACCTAAGCAAGCATTTAGTCATTAATACGATAGATTAATTGGGCGATCTAATTGAGGCAACCTGACTCGCACTGGGCGTACATAATTAGGTGACCAAATTCCTCACTTTGCCTGTGAGGAAGGTGCGCAGGTGCAGGAGAGAACGTGTGGATTCAAATTTAAAGGAAGAACATAGGCAGGGTAAGGGGGCCGCCCAGTAATGAATATTCATGACCTCTAGTAATAAGAATAACGGTTGACCAGTATCAAATGCCCTTGCCACTTGGCAATCTGCCCGCCCAACAACCTTTTGGGTGTACTTCCTTTCTTTTCCTTTCTTTTCTATTAAACTTTCTTTTCTGCTTCATTCGTGGTTGCGATTTCATTTTGCACTTAGGGACAGATCTCTAATTTTAGTGATCTGGACCCAAAGAACCAAGGATTTCACAACGCAGCTCAACACTTTTCCAGCCGTTAACAGTATAAACAACTAGACAAGACAAACGTCAGAGAAAGCACACCATAATGGTAAGTAGCTGAGCTCTGGGAGACAGTGGTGTCATAAAATCTGACTGCCATTCTTGTTTATTATTTCTTTAAAAATATTGATTTTTTTATTTTCAAATTTTCTACCATTTCTGTGGTAAATATATAAAAACCAAAGATGAAAACAAGAAAACAATATTTCTTCTCTCAACCTAAAGCAAAATACAAAAGCAAAACAATCATCAAGATATCTAACTTACCAGCGTTAACTTATTTACTACATGGAACTAATATTTTACCACTTAAGAGATAAAAAAGCAAGAAATGAAATGTGTGTTTTCCTTGCTTACCTCCTACTCCTCATTGTGTATAAGATCTTCCTCGTTCTGAATTTTGTGACAAGCCGATGAATCTTCCTGTTTATCATAATGTGGAAGTGAAGTCTATTTGAAGCAAAGGTATTTCCATCACTTGGGTAATATCGTGTTCTGTGTTTCTGTAGCGGTGATGGCTTACGATGGCCTGGTGTATTGAGCGTGGTTCTGATGGGATCCCCTTGGGGAGGTTAGGCATTTGCATCAGGCTGGCTTCGGAATGCATACTACATTTTAACCTATGGATGATTCTATCTTTAACCTTGATTCCATCATTGTATTCTAACAAGCTGGTATCATAGCTAATCATTCTAGCATTGCCAAAACCTGCCTCTACCACCCACTTGATAAGTTTGCTATTGGGTTCTCTCTGTTTTCTCTTTGTAGGTTTTTAGTAACTGAAACTTTTAACATAAACATGGTTTATGAATGACAAACTTCTTGTAAATTATACTAGATTATAATAATTCAAGCACCATGTGAGTGAATGTATAGAGAATTCCTTTGGGACAGTGGTGAGGCAGTAGGTGCAATGTGTAGCATGGGAAATTAGGACTAGGGCAGGTTTCTGGATTCTGCTGGATCTTATCCAGATAGTCAGCTTCACCTACTAGACAATGAACTTCTGGAAGAGAAGCACCGAATCATACTCCTCTCCATATTCCTATGACATAAAGCAGGGAACCTCAGGTGGCATAATAGTTAAGGTGCTGAACTCCCACATGGCTGACCATGGTTCCAGTTCTGGACCCAGTGGCTTGAAACTCACTGTGGGAGTATGTGAGAGGATGCCCAAGTCCTGAGAAAAGAATGGAAGACAGGGATTGTGGCCTGGCCATACCCTCTGGGAAATGATTTCTTGCTTTCTGTCTCTCTGTCTCTGTGTGTCCAACGAGTACATGCACCCTAGAGCAAAAATCTCTCAAAAAAAAACACAAAAAAAAACCAAAAAACAAAAACTACACAAACAATGCATTGCAGGTAGTGGGAGCTTGAGATGTGCTTATTGAGTTGGAGAAATTCTAGTTTTGCGGACTCTCTGAAAGCTTTTCTAGAACTTTAATTTTCTCATGAAAGCAACATTACTTGCCATCTACTATCCCAGATCTGCACATATTTAATAGTTATATTTTTCATAGAACTATTAAATGATTGTTTTGATATATAATAGTATTCACTGCCTTTCTACTCTAATATTTCTTTAGAGGTTCTACATTTTTCATTTTTGTAATTACATTTTTCATTTTTCTATATAGATGATATAACCCTTTTAATAGATTTTTAATTTGAGTAAGATTTTTATATCCAGATATGCATCTCATTTTCTAAATCATGCTTTCAAATGGATAAGATTCCTCTTACTGACCTATCTTCATTGATTTTAATTTTCCCCTGGGGTCCCAAATTGATTATGAGAATAAAAGCATTACTTATCAATATCAATGGTTTAAGTAATGATGCTATTTTTGTATTTTAATGTTCTGAGGTTGAGTCACAAAAAATAAGACAGTGCCAAGAATTTTTAGGAGAGATGTATGCTCTGTGTTTAATGAATAAAAATTCATTGTGTTTGGCTCATCAAGATAAGAATACTTTGAGAAAAGAAATGATAGTATTTAGTTTCTCTGACTGAACTAATGGGTTTACAATGATCACAGTATTTTGTATTAATTTACTTTCTCCAAGTCATTATCTTTTTATTTTGTTAATATAAAAATACTACCTTTGGTTTATATTATTTTCTTCAAAGAGATTGCACATCTTTTTCTTTATAATATTTGGAAAATGACATTATCCTTTAATGTATCAGTAATTTTTGAAGAACAATAGTTTTTTCCTCTGGATTTTCTAGAGAAAAATCGAAGTCAATTATATTTTAAAGTATTTCTATATGTGTTGTAAAATATCTTGATAACCTTGAAAGGCACACAGGGATGAATATTACAAACAGGAACATTTTGAAGATATGAGTGTGTTTATCTCTAACTGATATTTAGCAGACAAAACAGAGAAAATGAAACAAGTTTATGATGAAGAGAAACATAAAATGTAAGAGTAGTTTTTGAGAAGTATTCTGGAAGCACGTTGAGAAATACTTTATAAGATAAAATGTAAGAGTAGTTTTTGAGAAGTATTGAGGAAGCAAGTTGAGAAATACTTTATAAACAGAGCAAAGTATGAGCTTAGCTATTAACTGGAAGAAAATAATTGGCAATACTATGAGATTAACCAGTTTGCTAATTCATTTCTTTTAAATTCTCTGTAATAGTTCAGAGAAAAGGGGACCAGCAGTTAGCGTAATGGCTATGTCACTGGATTCCCACGTAGTAAACCGTGGTTCATGTCCCGGACCCAGTGGCTTAAACTCACGCCGGGCGCGTGTGCGTGTGTACCCAAGATCCCGAGAGGAGAATGGAGGAGAAGGGATTGCGGCGTGATCATCCCCCCAGAAAAAAAAAAAATAGTTCAGAGAAAAGTATCAGAAGCTAAGTCTGTGTCCACTGATTTACTAGCAGAGGGAAGAACCATTTGAGCTCCGTACACATGAATTATGCATTTATTATTTATTTCCGCATTGAGTTTTAGGATTTTTTATTTATAATTCTATCCTAGTCTAGCATTTCTTAGACTTGAAGAAATACCTATAACTTTTAAAGAAAGAAAAATCATGAACCCACAATATTGACATAAAATTTTTTAATTGCAATGGTATTTAAAATGATAGAATATAAAACCGTATTGTCCCTTGTGATTATAGCGCTCACAAAATTATAAAGCCAAACAACTTTATAAAATAAGTGTAAATGAAAACACTAAAATTCAAATTAACAATATCAATTTTGTTTGACAAATAATGTTCTTCTGCTGAAACAAAATTGCCTTTCATGATGGGAATGTTAGCTTAGGCACAAGCTCTTCCAAACTACCATAAAATGTTGAATTTCAAACTATTCTAAGATTTTATGTGGAGGCCAGTGAAGCTAATTCCTGGTCTCCTGGTGTGAACTGTGTTATGTCTACTATTCCTTTTCCCTCATTAGCCTGTAATAAAGTGTTCTTGCCACCTTGATCATACAATATACATCAGGATAGTCCCTTGAACACTGTGATATTTGGTTTTGGCATAAAGAAGATTCGATACACATTTTAAATATTTTTAAGGTTTTTAAAATGATTTTATTTCTTTATTCAGTTTTACTGAATGTTCAGAGATTGCAGGAATATGTTTGGAAGTTAGTGGAAGAGCCTTAAAACAGTTATACACAAAATACAGAAAAGTATATTTTTAAAAGGCCAGATGAGGGCGCCACAATAATGAAACTAGACCCACGTAGAAAGGTTCTGGGCTTGTCTCCCAGAGCCATTCTGTATACCCTGGGTGTGTGCATGCCTGTGATCTGTGGAGACTGAGGCTTGAGGTGGATTGTGGTGTGAGGATCCTGCAGTGGATGCCCATCTTTCTGTCTCTGTCTCCTTTTTGATCTTTCCCTCATGGAAGAAGCAAATAAATACACTTAAAAAAAACCCTTACATATCAAACTAAATACGTGGCAGTAAAGATGAACAATGTCACAAAAATAAAACAAAATCATAAAAACAAAAGGCAAAACTGTCCAGTGTAAAGTTCAAATAACAACACAAAACAGAAATTTAGAAAAAAAAAAAAAAGCAAATTCAGTTTATAAAAATAAGAACAATGAAATAGTCATTACAGTGTAGGTCCTTATTTTTGTCTTGTTAAAAGAAATAATAAGGCATAGCACAGGTAGGAGGGTGGAGTCACATTGAAGGTGGGCTGGGGTTAAAACCAAATTCAGAATACCTAGGGCTCAACAAAGGGCACCCCATGTTTAATCAATTAAAAACCCGAACAAATGAAAGTGGAAAAAAAAAAGGTCAAATCTGTTCAAAATTCTTTGGGGATTTAGTTTTGGTTGGATGCCAAGTCTTTGTCCTTTGATGTGAATTGACTTCTATCTAAACTTCAGATGATTTTTATTTTCTTATATTTTCTTTTGTTATATTTAGCATCATGAAGCAGAATATCCTGTCCACCTCTCATTCTTGCCAATAGCAAAGGAGAAGCTTTGTAGGAGAGAAGGAAGGGTCTTAACTGTGTGACCTTCCTGCAGAGACCTGTGGTGATACTAGAAATGCAGCCTTCTTGTTGTCAGCAGGAGGGTTAGCTCTATAGTATCCTCCATTGGTATTCTTCTTCTGTAGTTATGGAAATGCTAATTCTGTTGCAGTTTGTACAGTTTCTGTAGTAACAGCAGCATTACTATTTTTCAACCAGATTGTTTTATTTTGTGATTAGTTTTCCAATTTGAATATGAGGTTGACATTTAGTTTAGTATCAGAATTTAATGAAATTCAATTTTTAAGCCTTTCACCAGAAAAGTCTAGTTACCAATTGCATTTCAATTAAGTAAAAGGTAAAGTAATAATGTACTCATTCTTACGTATGAGGCCAGTGTGTTTCTGGGGCTTGCTACATATGAAACCTTGTAGAAGTAGATTCTTTTATAATGGTAGGCTGATGGTGGTAGAAGAATAATGCACCTGGACATGGGAAAGGTCCTGGGTTTGTGTTGCATCCTGGGAAATATCTGAGCACACTAGGAGCACATGCATGATCCAGTGATTCGGGCCATCTGAGAGTGAGGA